TTTCTTGATTTCACTACTGGCAGTTGGATCGAGAAAATTGTCCTCGCTCGACTCAATTCCCAAAGATTTATGACGCAATTGTCCGCCTTCCTCTGCCAACAATTACCACATGTATACTCCGCACCGCAACCCCATAATTAACAAGCGAGCGTTGGAACTTTGAGCGGCGTATTTACAAGTAAAATGATTAAAATACAGGGCACCTACAAGAAAGATATCCCGTTTCCGAAACAGCTTCAAAAACGCAGAGCGGCGCGTGGCGACTCGTTCTGACACACGTGGAGAAAGTGAAGCGTGGGTCCGAGGAGAGATGTTTGGCACGACGATAGGGAACGCGTGGTGGTATACGGCTGCGCGGCGCGACACGGCACGGCACGGTGTTGCGTGCGGGGCAGGGGTAGGGGTAGGCAGAAGCGGGTCTTACGGCGCGCGGCGCGGCGCGGCGCGCAGCGATGTCCGCGCGTGGCGGCGACCGAGGACGCAGCACAGCGCAGCGCGGTGCGGTGCGGCGCTGCTCGTGAAGCACCCGCCCGCCATTCGGCCTCCCCTTCCCTCCCCGTCCCATTGCTTCCCTCTCCCATCCCCATCTCGTCACCGCCTCCGCCACCGCCCCAGCACACGCCACGAGCGGCGCGACAGGCGAGCGAGCGAGCGCCAGGGCCCGCGCTTCGCTTTTACGTAACGCCGCGGCGCGGTGTTGGCTGCGGCGGCAGCGGCCGGCGGCGGCGGCGTTGGCGGCGGCGTTTGCCGTAAGCTTCACCTCGCCTCCGCGCCCACCGACGCAACGCAGACTCCTCCGCGGCCACTGCGCGGGTGTGGCGACGGTCCTGTCCAGGGGCGGAAACATGACGGCGAATTCTTAAAAGGAACCCACGTGTTGGTTGTGGGTCGTTTCCACAGCGGCCGAAATTATGTGGAAGATAGCGATATGCCATTAGAACCAACAGTAAGAGTTGGCACTGCTGTTCCTACTCTAGTCAATGCTTAACAAAATGTCATCGCAAAACGCACAGACACCATACTTTTAAAGAATCGCCGCGCTACCATTACATTCAAATATTTTTTATATTTAATTTCGCATTAATCGAGAAAATAATTGATTTCCCTCCAAACTAAACGTCCCAGAGGAGATCCATTTCTTACAGATAAAACCTTCAAATTGTATTTCGAATTGTTTTTCAATCTCTACCTTTTCACAACTTTCATCATAGTGTTAAATTGTTCTGTTAAATTTCGTATTCTCTCCCTTTCTTCCCCAGCGGCTACGCAAAACTGATATTCTACACCTACAATTTTTTGTTGTTGCATATTCATCATTTCCTTTAAGTTTTAATGACTTCTCGTAATTACGCATACCCGGTGCATCAATCCTAATTTACAAGCAAAACAGGTTCGTTCGAAGGTGAACTCAGAATAACAACGAGCGAGCGAGTGAGTGAGTGAGTATTTAGTTGTTCATTAGTACCGTAAGTGCAGTGCTGTACGGGAGGTGGCGGTGTTCTTCGCTCACTCAAACGTGAGATCCGGCGGCGACCTACACCCGCAGGTCTTTCCCTCTCCTTCAGGTGACCCCCCAATGAGGACCCACCCCAGGCACAAGTTCTAACGTGTAAACTCCCAACGGGACTCCTCACGTGTGGAAGTGTACTACACGTAAACGTGTGTGTGGAAGAGAAGGGGAGCAAAGGTGAGGAAGGAAAGATCGAGGGCGGTCCGCCGCACCTTGAAGGAACTGTCTCGGTTTTCGCCTGGTATTGACGGGAGAAGACGCGGAAAACTGATTAGAGCAGCTGGCGGCTAGGAAGCTCAACGGTTGATTTTGAGCCAGTGTTGGAAAACCGCCGTCATGTGTACTCGAAACCTAGATCTTCCAAGCAAAAGATGCTGCAGAGCTGGTGCATGTTCAATAATTATTTTATTCTTTTTTTTCTGCCTCACATATCATCGAATGTTTCACCTGTAATGCAAAGTTGCGGTTCTGAAGTCACGAAAATCTCCAAAGCTTCCCTGAAAGAAAACTAGCCCCGCCTAATTACACAATTGTCACGAATCCGGCAATCCAACTTCATTGTTTCAGTTCATGAATGCCTATATACAAAACTTGATTCGAGCTAGTTCAAGACTTTTAAATTTGAAACTCCTGAGACAATATTTCAAATTGGGATTCCCTCAATAGCTGAAGACTGTTATTGCTGCTTGAATCTGAATCTTTAAGTTAGGTGTGAAGTTATACGAATACATCGTTAGTTAGACATTCGTATTTAATTTACAGCTAAAAAAAAGTTCGGATGTTTGATGCACAATTAAAAATAGAAGCACGGCGTTTACATTTACAAAGCCAATCTAATAAAATATTTTCTTTTGAATAATTCAAAATGAAAAGTTTATTTTCCGAAATCTATGAAAAAATTTGCCTATACGATATTTCGCAACCGTAAATAATTATTTTGGAACTGAAGGTAGTTTCGTACAGGAACCAAACTTCAAATTGCTAGGCTCTGAACTGTACGTAATCTACTGTTCTCAGAATTAAATGTAGTGTCCCTTCAAGGTCACGAGCTGGAAGGATATGGGGACACTTTGTCATCCAATCGGGAGCTCCGTTGCAACTTAAATTTTTGGTATTGAAGCGTCCGATTTTATGACAATATCCGCCTCTCCTTCCAAATCGTGACCTTCAAGGTACAGTACATTTATACTGGAGTACAGGTACTGAGCTTCGGTAAACCTACTAAACCTGGGCGCCTCTTAACAAAAAGTCTTACTGTTCGATTACCATAGCAGAAACAAACGTCAGACCCATCGGGATACCGGAAATTGGGCTTTAATGGCCTTGAACGCAATATTAGCCAGTAAATGACGGAAAAGTTGCGGACACACACACACACACACACGAGCGTCACGTAACGGACGTCAGTACTACGGGAACACAAGCAGAACAACGGACGTCGCGCAGCGCGCTCACGTGCCATACCCAGTTTGTATCTGTTAACTGTGCAACTGACGCATTTTAACGTTCGTTAAAGTGTGCTCGTGTGCCTCCGGCCTAAGATACGATGAAGTGCAACGTGTGGTGCATGTTGAGTGTGCGCCTGAACGAACTCTCCTCAGCAAAACTACAAAATTCTTCGTTTCCTATCGGCAATCTGTTTGAAGTGTACGATATACCCTTGGTAGGAGGGTAATTCCATACATAGCAGCTGCATATTTATAGCGTTTTGTGTCAATGGTGTCAAATATAATTGTTCAAAAGCCATCAATTTTCGTTAGGTGGCATTAATTTTTTCCACAAAAACGCGAAAAAAATTGTCAAAAGACAGCACTTTCGAAATCGTTTTAGGCAACTTGAAAGGTTTTCGAATGCCACAATTATGGGGTGGGCGTACTTCGAAAATTGTAATAGAACGTCCAAAAATGTGTGATATGTTAGATTAAGACAAAAAAAAACCATTACTGCAAGCATCACGCCATCCGTAAACTAGCTAAGACCGGAATGCCGAAATTAAATATACTTGCGGCATATTAATCGATTTTCGCACGTGTCTTGTCCGCTCCGCCGCAGGCCTGCGGCCGAGTGCGCGAAGCGGGCAGCACACGGTCGCCGCCAGGCGCCGGCCGCCGCCGGCCGCCGCGCGCAGGGCGTCCCGCGCCCCGTCGATAGCCGTGCGGGGGGTGGGCCCGCTCTGCGACCGCCGCCCCCGCCCCGGTCCCCCGCCCCGCCCCGGCCCCGCCCCGCCCCGCCAGGCCTCGGCCGCAAGCAAGCCGGCGTGTAGCGTGTGTTGCCAAACCAGGCCGTGGCAGCAACAAGACAGACCTACCCGCCGGCAAGATTCCGCATTGCGATACTCGGGAGACGTTTCCTACGTAACGTACGAGAAGCAAAATACGTTGGCTGTGAAAAATTTTAGAACTGTTAAAAATACGTTTCTGTGAAATTTTAGAACTGTTTTACTACAGCTTTTCAGTTACCGTCAGCCTGCACGGGCAAGAGAAGGAAAAGGAATTTGAAACAAATACTAGAGATCACTAAAAGCAAATTGCTTATTAGAAACACTAATTCATTCAGCAGTTAAGACATAAGCTACCTCCAATTATAATAAAGTAAAAACAATACCAAAGAAAACGAAACGATGAAAGTCACACTGGCATTACAGGAAGAACTAAACGTTTATTATAAGCTTTACGTATGCTGGATGCCGAACAATCTTAAGACGCAGATCGACTAACAAATGATTTGAGGAATAGTCCCCTCTCGGGAAACTCGATATATCAGTTAAATCAAGAACCAGTTTTTGAGTGTCTGCACGTTTCTGGCATCCCAAGCTAGGGAGAACAGACACCTAAAAGAGCTAAACATCCAAAGATGTTACAGAAGGTAAAAAATGGTCTAATTTGTGTTGGTAATAGGCTAATAAACTACCCATTCCTATTGATCCCATTCCAAAAAAATACGAGTGAAACCGTGTTGTAGTGTAACACAAACTGTGGGTTGCGTTTAGGCCGGCTGGTATACTTCCATTCTACATTTTGCTTCTTAAATCTGTTTAATGCTCTCCACGGACATATCCAATCCAGCAGTTGTACATTTCCAGACGTCAGTGTCTTGTAAATTGTGCAAAACCGTTAATTTTTTCTTATATTCTATGGAAGAGATATATAAAATATATCCGAAGAATTGCACCAGTAAAAGATATTCTAATCTCCAAGCTAGTATCACAAAAAAGCTACAGCATTTTTACGGTTCAGATTCCTTCATTATTTATATATAAACAAATAATTGATACAATAAATACTATTCCTTCACGAAGCTAACAATGCAGTCTAGGTACACTTAATGAGATTGCAGTGTTCTCTAACCTCTAATTTACTGTTATACTAAATTTGTATGTAATGTTATTTTATTTACTGACCATTCATTGACCCGTGATGAACATTTTGATCGATAACCATCAGACTTTTTAACACTCACCGTGAATGGCGGCTGACGTTTTCTCAGCTACGGTTCTTCATATCTTTCTTCCCAGCGTTCTATCTGTAATAAAGAAAATACCAGTTACCATACAGACTACATCTTATGATAAAGAGACTTTTTACATATATATTAACTATAATAAAATCTTATATTTGCACCAATTCAAAATATTGATATTTGGGCTTATGATATTATCCTCAAAGCAAAATAATTTTCGTCTAAATAAAACAGTTTGCAACAATAATTATCATTATTTTTTAGTAGAGGAAAAGATACTCGAGCAATAAAAACTATCAGTAAATTGGTCAGTTACAATAGTATGCTGTATGGAAAATGTAAATAGCACTAAGGTGTTTCTACAACTAAGCAGTAATGTTGGTTCTTTCGGTTCATTATACATGACTTGCATACCAAGCGGAAGAAGATTCACATGGAGTAAACAAAACTGTAGATATGTGTTTTAAAGACTTTGGTTGTACAATTATGTATATTTCCTACACAACTTTTTTTTTCTGTTTTGGAATATTTGCATATTTTGATTCGAAAGTAAGCATGTTCGTTCTTTAATTGAAACAATGTTAGTGATTCTTGAAATATTTTTCAAATGAGATGTTGCTTTCAATGAATGTTTTCAACATGAAATGTGATTATATTTTTCAAGTTGAACTAGTAATATGATCGCTACATTTTTGTTTCTTTCTTTCAGTATTTCAGGTTTTCATCTCGTAACAACTACTTCCATTTTCAATGCAACTTAGAAGAATTCTTGTAGGGAAGGCCGGGGTAGGTTTTCACAAGTTTCCGTTCTCTGACGCTATTGCTGCTTACCCATCTAAACTCAAACCCCTGTACAATGTCAACATTTCGAGGTTGTGTTCGCAGTTTCCAGTTCCTGGCGATAGATGTTACTAGATGTTATTGTTGTTTTTGCAGACGTAAGTATTCATTTACTGGTACAATTAAAGCTGGTTATTCTCCCTTTATTAAATGAAATCCGGATTTCATCTATTTACTATTATTTGATAACATTTGGACAACGATATTATGTCGCGAGATTGAAATTAAGTGTAATGTTTGTGTTTCCAGCGCATCTCTTCTTTGAAAGGGCTGTGAGGGATTAGTTGTCGCAAAAACTGGGGGAATGGTTGTCACATGTGACAACTTACCACGGCAGGTATTTTCAGTAGTTTTTATCGCTTTATTCAGGCACAGATGGGGATAAATTATTAAAAAAATACTACGAGGACACCAGATATGATGCTTACAGCAGTGAGGAAAATGTAAATAGAAATAATTCACGCACACACGTTACGGTAATTTTAACAGATTCACCACTTAAAAGAAAGCTTCGAGAATTAGCTGAAAAGAAAAAAGAAAAAA